CCCCAGGATTGGGGTGTGACCCCAGGATTGGGGTGTGACCCCAGGATTGGGGTGTGACCCCAGGATTGGGGTGTGACCCCAGGAGTGCCCAGGCCTGTCCCCAGGATTGGGGTGTGACCCCAGGAGTGCCCACACAGGGTCAGACACTGCTCAGCCCCAGTGCCCCCAGCACTGCTGATGCTCCTGGCACTGGGATCTCCATGTGGATGCTGACACGGCCCCRGCTGGGTCACCACTGTCCCCCCATCCCTCCCAGGCATGGCACAGGTCCCTGTCCCTCACTTGTCCAGGTCCTCCCGTGCCACAGCCATGTGATAGGCACTCTCGAGGGTGAGCACGCCCTGGAAGAGCTGCAGGGCCAGGGGCAGGTTGGTCTCCACGTTCTCGATGGCGTAGAGGGCTGAGCACACGCAGTCTGATGCAGCCTCGTGCAGGTTGGACGATGTCTTGTCCTGTTGCTGAAAGGCACAAAAGCCCAGCAATTATCACAGAATCATGGAATACCCTGAGCTGGAGGGACACACAGGGATCATGGATCCACTCCTGTCCCTGCACAGACACCCCAACAATCCCCCCTGTGCATCCCTGGCAGCGCTGTCCAAACGCTCCTGGAGCTCTGGCAGCCTCGGGGCTTCTACACTCAGCTGGACAAACACCCAAACACCTCTGGGAAGCAATTTTCCAACGGGAAATGTCAGAAAAGGCATATTGCTTTACTGACAGTCTGGGAAGAAACCAAACAACTGCAACCCCTGATATGAGCATCAAACTGGCACAGTTTTGTTCCCCAACAGAGGCTTCCAGTGCCCAGCCACAAGGATGACACCTCATGGGTGTGACAAACCTCACCTGGCACCTCCTGGTGTGACAAACCTCACCTGGTCCCTCCAGGGCATGACAAACCTCCCATGACACCTCATGGGTGTGACAAACCTCACCTGGTCCCTCCTGGCTGTGACAAACCTCCCATGACACCTCCTGGCTGTGACAAACCTCACCTGGTCCCTCCAGGGCGTGACAAACCTCCCATGACACCTCCTGGCTGTGACAAACCTCACCTGGTCCCTCCTGGCTGTGACAAACCTCACCTGGTCCCTCCTGGGCGTGACAAACCTCACCTGGCACCTCCTGGGTGTGACAAACCTCACCTGGTCCCTCCTGGGTGTGACAAACCTCACCTGGTCCCTCCTGGTGTGACAAACCTCACCTGGTCCCTGCAGGGTGTGACAAACCTCACCTGGTCCCTTCTGGGTGTCACAAACCTCACCTGGTCCCTCCAGGGTGTGACAAACCTCACCTGGTCCCTCCTGGGCGTGACAAACCTCACCTGGTCCCTCCAGGGCATGACAAACCTCACTGGTCCCTCCTGGGTGTCACAAACCTCACCTGGTCCCTCCTGGGTGTGACAAACCTCACCTGGTCCCTCCTGGGTGTGACAAACCTCACCTGGTCCCTCCTGGCTGTGACAAATCTCACCTGGTCCCTCCTGGGTGTGACAAACCTCACCTGGTCCCTCATGGGTGTGACAAACCTCACCTGGTCCCTCCTGGGTGTGACAAACCTCACCTGGTCCCTCC